AAATGCTCATATTCACATAAAGTGCAATGTTAATTTTTGGCAATTTTGGGCTTCAGTACAAACGATTACAATGCCAACCCCATTACAGAAACGATCTTGCAACTTTGCACTCTCCGAACGCCGATGTCGCTTCGACCGGCGTATAGTTAAGATGTTTTTTGGGGTCACCAGCAGCGCGTATTTAGCGCCCCCAGGCGAGCGGCTGCCGTTGGGCCGCAATTTTACTATTCCTCGAGACTTACTATGTAACGGGGTTACACGAACTCTGACAACAGAGGTGTGTGTGTCACACGAGACGTGCATGGTGTGACCACATCCAAACAAGAACACGGTACGGGGCTAGGTAGCCAGAAGCTATGCATGCATTTAGATTTTACTATATATTTACATAGTATATCTAGGAAAATCCAAACTTTTAAAATTAGGATAAAAAATAAAAATAAAATTAAGTGCCTCCCGCCAAGACAAAGATCCCGAGTCCATCATATAGCGGGCATGATAGGTTGCTGTACGACGCAATTGACGGAGTAGGATTACTGTCCATAATGATGGAGGCGTCATCGCCTATTGTATGAGTATTATAAAGTATTATGACATGGTCATCTCGGACACGTTCTCACCTTATCTTTCTGTGATTACTGATCACATATGTATAGTTGGGCTCACAGTTATGTGCGCTTTTTAAAAGTCTACCAAAACGTTTAGCTATGGGGATCTACTCAGCGCTGGTTTGTTATTAGCTTGTCCCTCAAGCCAATTCGAAGTCCGTGAGTATAAACTCTAGATTTGGACTATTACGAGACAGATACGCCTACAAATGGCATTCTGGCATTCGTGGGGTAAGATAATGTATCTTACTCCAGTCTCGTACAAAATCTCAGCAGAAATGACTGCGAAAATGCTTGTTGACTTTGTTGAAGCGGTGTCCGTCACCATGATATATATTCAGCACCGTAGCCGTCAGATGTTTGCGTGCTCTGCTTGGCATCCCGGAAACAAAATATCTATATAAACAGCAGCCCACCCAGAGACAGACCGTCAAAGGAACGAGATGATCGTGTCTTGGAAGACGTGTTGCGCAGCTACAACACATATTTCGGGGATCAGATTAAATTTCCCCCTCTTGCAGAGCGTACATTGAATTACGTCGCACATGTTTCGACAGGCCACCTCAATTCTATGTGAGTTATGAACTCCATCCCAGAAGCATTACTAGAAGGAGAGGTAATGAGGAGGAACTATGTCTGAGGGTTTACAGTCAGACCTACATACTGTCATAGCATTAAAAGCGAATCTTGACTCGGCGAACCCTCTGGACCACATGACAAGTCACAATAAACAGCAATCAATGACTTTATCATGAGGCGACAAGACGTTGTGAGGTTCGTTCGTGATCAATTGCGGCAGGATCCGCAAAAAGAGCAAAAGGATGCGAGCGGGAGAACGAGCAAGCAACTGAATAAGGTCAATGAACCTGTATTGTTTAGTTCGGCTAACTTGGTTGAACATGAAATGTCCTACCTAAATAGCTCAAAGCTTCTCTCAACGTTTTTTGGATTCTACAAGGTGGTAAATGCAATGGTGATGCCTATATGCTAGACATACTACGCCAAACCTACATTGACTTTTGGCAGACGATCAAACCCCATCAAGGAAAGCCCCGTTGGATCGTCAAGTCGATTGTGGGCACGAAGATCGACCAAATCGATGACAGAAGAAGAAGTAGACGTGTCGTCAATGGTTTTGATGAGTACGGTGGCTAGACTCTACCGGACTCAGACACAAAGATCGTCAGGATACTCTTCAGTCTGATGTTCCTGACATGGTTCGCAGCTACGAACAGAGCTTGTAGTGCTTAAAGAGCACTATAAAGTCTTGAGCCAGGCTATTTGCGGCTGCTCTCGAGCGCCCCACCTAGGTCACCCGCAAACGCTCGACAAGATGTTAAATATCGAGCTAGACAAAACTCTTACACTATTTAAACTTTGCTGAGATGGGCTGACCAGGATTGTTGCTGCTAGACATCTTGGGCCAAAGGAAAAGCAACTCCTTGTAGAATCGACGTCCTACGCATTTTTGCGAATATTGGAGATGCCATACAAGCCGGGTGTTGTCCGTCGCCGCTACCGCTTCCTCTGTCAATTCAGCATCTTTTGTCCGCTTGTCGCTTCATTGTCGAGTAAATTGCTTCAAAATGTCTGGGTGTGATTTAACGGGCCGTACCAGGCCATCACATAAAGGTGGACAGCTGTGTAAACATTACCTTCGATGTGAGTTTGGTGACAAATAGCAAAACGATAACTGTATAACAGATTTCACATGCACGTGTTACATCACTGGTAGTAATCAGTACATTATGGCGGTTCCTACTTGAGAATCTATACTGGTGACAAAACGGACGTGTCCCTGCCATCTGATGTGAGAAACGCGATCCTGTCACTCGGCGGAGAGCTGTCACAAAAAAATTAAGCTTCACTGTACCCAAGGCTTTATACATAAGTAAAAGTTTCTTAGTGATCTCCTGGGCTCAACCTCAGTGTACCCAAGGGAACTTTGAGCACAAAATGGCAATAATTAGCAGCAATCTGCTTAGCCATGGTGATAGATGAACCCACGCTAAATCAAAGAGAGCTCCCCTTACGAGACGACTAAGCCAATTTGTTGTCTTGGCTTCATTTGCAAAACACAAGGATTGATATGCGAATCATCCAAAATACACGCACTCTTCGTGGTTCATCACACTTCAGCAGATCAAAAATTCAATCTCATCCTAGATATATCCTGGATGACATGTTTTAGTGAAAGTTCGAGCGCATTGAGTGTTACACACATTTTCCAATTTGGACTATGGTGACTAATGAACGTATCTCGTCTCGGCAGCAGAAGCGCGTTCAGAGGGGCATGAAGCTACCAAAATTGTGGTACATGATATGGGACTGTCCTGATTTGAACACTAAGCAATGTTTTTAAGTACCTTGTTTGAATCCCAGATGGCAGATAAAGCTGTAAGCAGCTGGAACCAGATTTGTCAGTTAATAGTGACGGTATCTCGCGGTCTTCAGATGGAATGGACAATAGCGACCGTATTATGCGGTCTTGAGAATGTCCCTCTGAATAGTCAAGAGTTGCGGCTCTATGTCATGCTCAAGCTGGAAAATCCCGTGATCATGTATGATAGGACGTATAAACACGTTTGTGCACCGCACTTTCAAATAAAATGCCTGTAGAGACAAGTTTGAAGGGCTTAGCGCTATGATCTTTATGCAAGATCTTCTAACGATAGACAACTGTATGTCGCACGCTTAGCGGTCAGATTCTGATGTGGTTATTCTTTGGGAATGTACCATTCAGCAATACCGTGAGATGTACCTACCGTGCGGAGCAATGAAGATCAATGGCTTGTAGCAAAAATAATAAGGTTGTTGTAGCCAGGAGTTCGGCGCAAGCACCAAATATTCGAATGAATGTACTGCAGAAAAGTGTTTTGCCTGCATAAAGCTCATGCTCTTGACCAAGTATCAGCTCGTGAGAAGTTGTGATATCAATAGGGTATTCGGACCCCGAAAAGGAGAGTCGCGTGGGTTTCAAGCCCACACACCATGCGCTACATAGGGCTCCAATTTTGTCGATTAAAAGTACATGGTTATCTATTATGCTAAATTAAATATGATGGGAAACGACACCCCTTTTTAGGAGTCGTGTAAGCCATACCTGCTGTAGGGTTTTATTCATTGCACTCTAACCCCTCTCTACCCGGCCCGGGGATTGAACCCTGGACTTCCCGGTTGTGAAGTGAGCGGCGTACCACTGCACCACAGGATCGGTTATTATGCTAAATTAGAGCAACTATGTATTAGGCACATGTGGTGATCTCAGTTGGTGCGAGAGTGGCGCGTTCGATCTCAACCTCTGTTAATTGATAAGCAGAAGATAAGAAGCTTTCTTTCATCTGTGAGAGAAGCACTTCAATCCAGTTGCAGAAGAGCAGAAATATCATGATTTGATACCACGACGAAGTTACATAAACAGGAATCGCATTTTTACATCCTAAATCAAAAATAACACCAAGGCATCTTTGATCAGATTGAAACTTATGCGCCGAATGCACGACGTCATGACTTGAAGGCATATGTGTAAAGCCAACATTTCAGACCAGGGATAGACAGTGCAGAAAGATCATTCTAATAAGCAGATGTCTACCTTCAAATGCAGTGTCAGGTGCAGCAAGACTAAGCTGAGACATAGCTGGATTACCTTCTTTTTTGGGGTAGCGATACAAATCTAAACTGCTGATTGCGTCTCGAACCAATCCGTAGGGTTGCAAAGCTTGAAAAGCGCATCTAATAGCTGATACATGTCAATTTAAACCAGATGTTAAGAAAGCCAGAGTTGTCGTGTTGCCATGTCTGCGTGAACTTACAGGGACTAGCCACGGTATAGTTGTTCTCCATCGGCACAACTCGATGTCTAAGGAGTACTTTGAATTTGTGCAATTGATAATTGACAGGCGAGGCTACAGAGATGTTTCGGGTCTCATGGAAGTTCCAGGATCCCTATCGACAAGATTGAATCGATACATTCACCATTTATTAAAAAAAAAAAATGGGGTTACGATGCGCAATATGCTTCCCACTTGCAAGTGGGACAGGCTGCAGACTGGGCGTACTTGATGAGCAGCTAAGTCAAGGAGTGTTGGATATGAACAGAGCCAGATACTAGAGGTGAAGGGGTGAGCTCCCACCTCAAATTTACATCGTTTTTTGTATCTCGCAAAGTCAAGCCTAATTTTTCGAACGTCTGTTTCGCTAGATTATCTTCAAAATCGTAAAAAGACTGGTACGGCAAGTCAAGTCCAAAAATAGTCAATTTGAGTCGTTTAATCGTTTGTACTTTTGTCAAAGCCTAACACCGAAGGCTCGATCTTTCAGACTGCTGCGGTCCATCATTAAGCAATTTTTATGATGAGTGGTGACTTGCAGGATCGGAAAAAGAATTCAGAAACGACTCTAAAGCGCATATTATGCTCTTTGATTGACGGTAGCTAAAACCACTACCGAGGCGATGCAAGCGACTTCCGATGAATCGTACTTAATCAGACGAAAGTTTGTTTGGACTGACATTATCACAAGTTGCTGCGACTGGCTTGGGCTTGCAGCCGGGCAAACTCGGCTCTTTGAGACAGATCTAGCTCATTTAAACTGAGCTGGATTTTCTTGTAAGTTTTACAATGTGGTGTTCCCCGCACTGAACGAACACGGAGCAAAACTCATGCCTAATTTCATACGTAAAAGCCGCGTCTTTTAATTGCGACTTTTCGAGCAATGCACTTTCATAGCAAGTTATGCGATCTTTGATTCGATCAAAGCATAGGAGCTTAGTGATATTTAAGAGACGCGCTTCTGGTGCAGTGGGTGTTCATAGCGTTATCAGTATCATTGCAATATCGTATGTTAATATGATAGCGACAGTGCCCAATCTGCAATGAATCTAATCTTTGCGGGAAATAAAGCAAACCACAAAGAAGTTTTGTTGGGTTATAGATTATTAACACCTAGCATATAAAATCGCATACACTTGAGTACTACTTGCAAGTCTTTAATTTAGGCCAGCATATCCGACTTTCCGTGCTCTGAACGACTATGAACAAATACTTCTTCAAATTTTCTTGTGCATGACGAAGATATGACCTGAACAGATGCGTCGCCACACGACTGAACATCGCGGTCGCGTTAGGGGGTCCGTATAACAAAATCAGCCATCACCAGAGCATCCCACCTGGAGTACCCACCGATGTTACAGAAAATCGCCATCTTTCATCAGCTGTTAACTTTAAACCAGGATCATGTAACCGACCGATCAGTTCTGCAGCGCATTGTTCTTATCGATCTGAGTCTACCCGCATCGTTAAGCGTATTATACGCATGTACAGTTCTTAACTTGTAGTTAGCCAGCTGACGCACAAATTAGCGCTGAGTGTGGAGAGTTGCTATCCCTCATCAACCTTGCATCTTATCTCGCACGAATTTTCCGCCATTACCTTGTGACGACATAATTGATTTTGGCATCATTTGAATTTAATGATAAACCCCTCTGACAAGCCTTATTGTTCTTTCGTCATCACCTCGTGATATTCCTTCGACAAATATCAAAATGGATTACTAAGATAATTTAGAATATCTGTCCACTCCTTGCACACAGTGCCCTCAGTAACGAAATCACAATAACGGAGAGTGAGATCAGCCCCCCAGTTGAAACCACTTGAATATATCGCGACTACCATTTAAAAGTTTTTGCAAAGATTATTATGAATATTATTTCAAGCGCGATGTAATCTTTGACCGGAGGTAATAATGGAATGTTTAAATAAGTTCTAAGACTACCCTCGTCGCCGTATTCACAAGTAAAAAAAATGTCCTGCCAGAACTAGTGGAGCGACACTGTTTCGCATGGTCAGTGCGTTACGAGTTGTAGCGACACCGGTACATTATGCCACGTACGAACAAAATATTCTTAATAATATCTTATCCTGGTCCTAGTATTGCGACTTTCGGTTGCTCGCTAGCACCAGCCCTCACGAAAGCGTTTCGACACATAATCACACTTACATATTTCTAGATCTACATGCATTCACCGTCTCTCATGACTGCTTCAGCAGAGATTGACGATGACTATTTTCTGTCTTATACGGGACTGCGGATGGCTACACTTATGCTTGCTCAGCTTTTGGCGCTCAGAACTTCAACAATAATTAACCCGGACAAACGCATTCTAACAGACGTGTGTTTTTAACTCACCAATGATCCAAATGATCCAATAGGAAATGAGTACAAGGCATCTTTTTATCGACTTATATTCGATTCATGGCCCATGAAGTTTAGCGTACGCCATACCTAAGATGAGATGGCGTGACAATTTCATGTCCAAGTCTAGGCAATGCGCCACGCTCTAAAAGTTTTGCTTTCACGGGGAGGCTTATTATGACCTTCGTCCCACGTCCCAAGATTTACGGGCATCACCCCCTCTCTGATATCTTCAATCATCGCCGCATACCGTCGTTTTTTAGAAAGTCATGATCAAGACCTCTATGGCTCTACAACTTGTACTCTAATGAAAATAATCAACAGATCTCAAATGTGTCTTACTAGCTCTGATGAGAGTCAATTCTTGATGGGATATATTCAACGACTTCGACAGGGGGGCAAAAGAACGGATTGTTAACCCAAAAGGTCGCCCTGTGCCTACTGGGAGTCGATGCTTTCCCGTGAAGGGCTCGCACGTTAAATCTACATTGGATCACAACCCTTTGTACCTGTCAGCCGAAAGCGAGGAGGATCCGCGTATTCCATGTGTTTTGAACTGCCACATGCGTTACGACGGCGAGTACAGCAAAGCTGCTTGAAGCCAAGCGATCTCGCTATTTCTCGACAGCTTAGCTGCTTTTATTGGATATTAAATGCTTATAGATCATTTATCTCCCGTAACCTTTACATTCCAGGCTGATCTCCGCATATAATGTGACACCCACCAGTAGTTACAAGAGCTGTTTGTGCGGACCACTTTTCTTCAAATATCCTCCATTCGATAGTAGCTTTGTGCCCTCGGGAAAGGATCTTCCGCTATAGCAGCAATGAAAGGTCGTGATTTTTGCGCAAACGTAATGTCACGCCTGGAGAAGAGCGTTAATCGCATTTGATATATTATGTCTGGCGGTGTGAAAGCCTGCACGTGTAGAGTGCATTAACACTTTCAACGTTGGAAATACCTCTTCTACAGAGAGACTGCACGTAATTGCCCATTTTTGTTCGATCTTCTCGCTCGAAGACAGCTGGCTAATACGCTGTTTTTTTGAATGAGCATGGTCGATCTCATGACTCTCTCACTCTCACAAGATTTTGAATGCCTAACATAAGCACTCTTATGTTGAAAGCCGATTGTACTTCCACTTTCGCTTGAGGTCGGCATTTCTTTGAGGTGTCTCACGTGCATTCTCGTAGCGTGGCAGTTGACCCTTGCACTGATATATCTGGAAACCACGATAGTTTACCAAGCTTGTCTAGCTGTCCCAGGGTAGGTGATAAAAAAATCGTATTCCAAACTCGTATATGACAAAGCCAAATACGACTCGGTCGTCAGCTTGATAACAAGCGCTACCAAGTTGTAATTGGGTCAATCCCATTACGCGTGTAAGTGGTAACCACATACTTCTGTGTGTGGTATACATTATATATATATCTTACATAGCTTTATTTTCCTCAGTCCCGTATCATCAGAATTTGAGGCACTCTTTCGTTAATAGGGATTTAAGGCCTATTGCCCATAATACATATAACTTCACTTTTTACTCCTCGATGACCTAAACTAATGGCTCGCTGAAAGTAAACAACACGCAGTAAAAGCATGTTAACCAATTTAAGTCTTCCTCAGTAAGTGCGTGTATACGGACGAATTATTCCCATTACACTTGGTTGCACATGTCGTCATTCCAACGCCGACTTCTTCAATGGATTCATCTGCAGATAATTTGAACACCACAGGGGGTAGTCGCCCTCGGATCAACAGTAAGGAATATTCGTTCCTAACACACTCTCAATGGGAGTGCGTGGTGAAGCCGCGAGCTTTAATCGGAGATCACACGGTCTTCGACATGCTCCAATTGGATAGCAAAAATTAATTGATTAGCAACTTTTACTGCATTTGAGAAAGGAATATTAGTATATTCATTCCAGAACATACCGGCGGTAGCTCCGTCACCTCCCCAACAAGTAGTTGTAACAACGTCGGTACACATGAACGTCCCGTATGGATCAAGGTAAGAAGCTTTTACGGGAACGAGGACAAAAAATTTGCATTTCGGCAGCGAGAAATATACATCGCTATCACGATGGCTCAAATTCGTGATGACCGTAGTTAAGTGACTATTGCTGTGTCACAATTGGATAGCCGTGCAAAAGATTGGGCGATGACATCAAAAGTCAACTGCTTTGGCTACTTTGCCCCATTGTAAGAGGTGAAGAAGGTCATGGACTTGATATTTTTTCTCCCGAATGCGGCAATTCGATAGCGGTTGGCGGTTTTGTCATGCCGTCAAGACAACAGTACATTGCACGACTATGTACAAAAGCTTGGTGAGCTTTGTGCCAGTATGGGAAGCGAACCACCGCCAAAGGCATTTATAGTAACTGTGTTTATGGAGACACCTATTTATGGTCCTCATATGACTGAAGTCTTCCGCCAGAACCCGTTGACTCTGGAAGATACAATTACAATTACATTGCCAACATCAAGCACGTGGTCAATCAATCACTGCTACTACTAGAAATCCAGAACAGATGAGCCCCGGCGCGCTGGCTGTCCGTAGGCAGCAAATTTGCTTTTATGGATGTCAACAATTTGGTCACATCCGCCGTGATTTCAAACTTGGAAGACAAATCTCTTAATATGGTTCGCGTCGTCGTGGTCCCATACCACGTGGTACCAAAATCTTGAGGCGTTCGGGAAACGTTGGTGCTCGGTAGACATTGGGCGGCCTATTGAAGCAATTAACAACTCTTGTGAGTGTGGTGGTAGTATCACTCAAGAGAGTTTGGCCTTCAAAGTTCGCTGTCCTACGTTATCGAGACAATTCGAAGTGGTCACAGCGAGTGTGAAGGGTTCCGGTCATCCGTTTAGAGTCTTGATTGACTTTGGTGCGTTGTATATCTACACGCGGACGCAAAGTGTTGCTAATGTTTTTTTGGTGCTTCGAATCTCGGTGCAGTTGGCGGTGGTCACCGCGAAAAAAACTTCAACTAAACCTTGAAGACTTCAACTCGAAGGAAGTATTCACGGTGCTCGATGAAGAAACGGTATGACCTAATTTAAGGTATACCGTGGCTTGAGAAGCATGAGCCATGCATCGATTGGAGATCGAAAAAGCTTGGAAGTAACTGTCCTGGCGTACATGAATCTCTTGGGGGTAAAGAACCTACATACACTATGCACTAGAAGGATCGCTCAAGCGCTCGGAAGTCGTTTGTTTTTGGAAATGATCCACACTTCATTGGTATCTGTCATGCAATTGACAAATTTCGAGATTAAGAAAGGTACGGAGTCGTATGGAGTGACCACGGGTGATCACTCAGGAAGTGTGTTGACAGATCAAATGGTACCCGGAACTGGCTACAAGAGACCAAATGAATCATTGGTGAGCATGACCATTTGCCCAGCGAGAAGAATTAATGAGGGAGAGATGCCGGTTGTTGCCCCCCCAAGACAAAAAAATGTTGTCGACATGTGTGTAAAAGAAGTCGAAGGAATCGACAGCGACTGGATATGCTTGCTCACACTAATACAGTGGCTGAGTCGGACCGTCGGTAAGTGGGTACAACTGACCAAAAATATGATGTACCCGTTGTGTGGTTGAGTGAAAAAATCAACGAAATTTGTTGATTGTCGTACTTTTTCTCCCATTCGGGATGCGGGTGAATTCGCGGGTAAGTGCACGACTCCTCATGATGAAACTGTAGCATGCGGATATGCTGGTTCACGTATTATGGATGCAACCAACTGGCTGCGAAATTACCGGAACAGTTATTTTTTGGCTCCGTTGCCGACGATGGAAGAGCTGGTGCAGCTCGAGGAGGTCGCTTGCGATGACTGCCTACACGACCTCGATGATGATGACATTGCGGAGGTCGCGTTGATGCAGTCAAACGTTGAATGAGCGGTACTACGTTCATTATCAATTATGGATGATTCGGCTTTCAAGTAATTTCGACAGCACGCAGAGGATCGGTAGTTAAAGGATCCAGCTATCCCATTTCATGAACTGGTTATGGTGTATAAGGATGGTGTCCTTGGTGCGAACACACCCTCTGAACTCCTACCCGAACGTGGAGCTCAACACGAACTTGATTTTGATACTGGTTCAAAGCATGCAGTGCTTCGACGTGGCCACTATCGCGTGAGCAAAGTGAGTATATTGATGAGATGTCTTGCTCACACGCAAGCTACTACTTTGTGAGAGACGGCAAGTCCTTTCACAGCGCGGCGAAGTTTTGTATGCGCAAACCAAATGGGAAATGGCGTATCGCTCACGCCTACAACAAGTCGAATGCGCAGCTGATTCCCGCTTAAACGTCGATTCCGCGTTAGGATGTCATCATCCATCGTATGTCCGGCTGTACACAGTTTAGTGTAGTTAATTTGGTCGATGGATATTACCAAACCTTGATGAAGGAGGAGAACATCTCTTTGACGGCTGCTAAAAAAATATGATATGGCTTGTGGTGCCACAATGACTATCCAATACCCCAGCAACATTTAATCGATTGGTCTCACATCTGTCTCGACCACCGCGACGCTCCGCACAAACATACTTTGAAGATATTTTGGTTCACCTGATAACCGAAGATGGTAGATTTGGAGAAGAAATACACTTGAAGCACCTTGTGCTAGAATAAATGCGTGAACACTCATTGCAAGAGAATCTTGCAAATTGTATTTCATTGCTTACAAAGTACCGGTCCTCGGTTGCTATGTTGGTGAACACGGTGTTCGTGCAGACCCTAAGAGGGCCGATGCAATCGTGACGTGGCCATTAAACGCCACGACATTTAAACGAAAAAATGGATTGTTCAATCATCTGCATCGCTTCCTGCGTAACTACGCGGAAATGGTACGCCCACCATCAAACTTGCTGAAGAAGATCGTACCATGGGTGTGGGCATCCGCCTGTGAAAAGACATTCACTTCAATCAAAACAGCTTGATGGAAGCCCAATAAGATGCTTCATCAGATGACACGAAGCCGTAAGGCGTGGTGTGTGAAGTTTCTAAGTTTGCAATTAGTTGTGCACTATTGCAAAAGGACTCAATAGGACACGATCGTGTCGTATCGTTGCAATCAAAACAGTTGAAGCCAGCTATAAAGAACGACCTTGTCCGCGACAAAGAGCTTTTGGCAATGACATATACCCTGGTGAAGTTTCATGTTCGCCTCTTAGGCTCTGTTTTTTCGGATCACGCAAGCTTGTGATATACAAATCAGTCCCCTCATTTGTCACAGCGGATGGCTAGCTGGTTGTCATTCTTCGCAGAGTACAACTTCACGGTTGTAAATAGATCGGATAAGCTAAACGTGCTGGCTGACGCATTGTCACGTCGTTTGGGTTATGAGCTAGCTTCTCTTAGTAATATCGAAAACGATGTATTCGATATGATAAGTCGAGCTTATGCTGAGGATGAACAGTGTGATCTGATCATCAAGGCCCTCTCATTGAGTCATATGGGACTCCATGACAAGCTTCCAGGTCGATTGAAATCACGGACGTATCGTTATGCATTAAAAGATGGTCTCTATCACTATGAAGTTGTATATGGCGACATTACGCGGATTGTGGTTCTCATTAACGATGATTTGAAGCACGAGATCGTGTACAAGGCGCTTGATACGCCGATGGCCGGTCACTTTGGCCGTGTCAAGTGTCACTGCAGAGTCTCTTTGTTCCTACTGACCGTTGAAAGTTAGTCGGTCTCGACTTTATCTTCGTTTACCCCGAAAATGTTGATGGTGCCCGTCTTCGTCGACAGACTCAGCAAAATGATTCGCATCGCTCCATGTAGCGACTCCATCGATGCTTAACGTTTGGCTAAATTGTTCATTGATCACGTTTTTTGCAATCACAGTGTGCCAGATGACATCGTCTCTGATCGTGATACACGATACACGAATGAATATTGAAAAGTATTGTTTCGAATTCTTGACACTCACTTTGATATGCGCACGGTCGTACACCCGGAAACCGATGGGCCAACAGAACGTGCCAAACGAGTGGTCGGTGAGGTGTTGAAAAACTCATGTGCGGAGAATGAAGTTTGTTGCTACCTTGATTGACTTTGCTATGAGCATTTCAAAGTCATATATCCACTGTATTTACGTTATTTTTTACGAATGGCTTGCAACACCTGCAAGTACCGCTTTGTGCGATGGGTGGTGTCTTTGATGTAGGAGGGGAGGAGCTCGGCAAATCGTTGCCTTCCAAATTAATACAGTCAATGATGCGAATGTGAAGCGCAAGTACAAGACGGCCTCGGGCTCATTCAGCAGGTGTGCGAGATACAATGGCGAATGCACAAGATTTACAAAAGGAATACGCAGATAGACTAAGTCGTCAGGGCAAAATGTCTTTTATTGTGGGGAATTACGCTCTTCTTAGTACTGTTAACGTACCAGACGATGCGATTCCAATTTTGAAAAGCTGGAAGCTATCACATCGCTTCATCGTTCCGTTCCGAGTAAGTGTCATGCCAGGGGAATACTTGCACTATCAACCTGCCAAGATGGCTGAAGACCCATCTAACGTTCTACGTAGGACTCTTCAAGCCTTTCCATCGCGATGACGCGGCTTCCAACCTGGATGTAACGCAGTTTTACTAGAATGTGGCTTTAGAGCCACAGATTAGGCACGAGAGTCGAAGGTTGGACCACGTGGCATCATCGCCTCAGCGTCTTCCACAAAATGACGAGAATAATCGGGAACGCTCGAACCAGAACGAGATTGCTGGCCGGGAGGTCCAGCGTCATCAGCAGAAGCAACCGCAGCAGGACGGAGAGCTTGCGGACCATGCTCCAATCGATGAGTCTGGTTCTCGATTGCATCCCCAGGCGAGTTGCCACGACGCCGCGAACTTCGCAAATGACCTGTCGATTATCTTTTAAGCGCTGTCGCTTCAACTACATCCGATCGGTCACCTCGATCAGCAACTGGTTCATCAGCGCGAGGAGCTTCTCCACCCTTGGCAAACGCAGTTCCAAGGCGGACAAAGACTGTGGATTAGCCACAAAAGAAGCAGAGGGGACGCTCTCTTAGGGCACCCCCCCTCTTCAAGGTCGACAGGGAAATCGATACTACCACGTTGAGAATATGGTGGCGGAGGAGAACGCCCGCGGTCGAAAGGACCTCTTGGTTAAATGGCTAGGGTAATCAGACTATTCACAATTGCATTTGGACCTCAACTTTTTAGCGGGGGTGGTGGATAATATGATAGACTGTATTGTATACATTTTGAAGAAAAAGATCCTTATCTTTAAATTTGTATAATGCGCGTGCTTAGGTTGCGCAAAAATGTTACATTCAGAATTAAGATAATGGTATCTTCTCATGCGAATCTATCCGTAGAAAAATGATGAATTTGTAAACTATCTGGGATTGAGGTGATGAAAAAAGAAACGATGACAATAGAGTCCAATCCATTGAATTTCATGTCTGTGGACCATCGATAGAGTCACCAACAACTCGAATAAGGACCTCGCACAAACAAACACGAAATACCATGGTGGATGATTTGAAGGATACGGCGCATCAGGTATAGCACATAAAAATAAGGTGTACTGAAAGTGTTCTGGGCGCAATAAATACATCTGGATGCCTACAAATGAATCCTTGCCCATTGGTCAGCAAGGTGGCCGAGTGGTTAACCACAAGTCCGTGGACTGACGGCTGGCTTGCGTGTCCATGGCGTGATTCGCCTTGGCACCTTTCATCTTGTTGAACGCACGACGTTGATAAGACCACGAGCGGATTACGAGTAGGTCGGTCATCCGCCGATTGACTGTAATTAACCGATGGGACCGTAGATTCATTGGTGGCCGATGATCGCGCTGATGAGTGCACTGTCTCTAATGACAATGAGATTAGAATATAAATGTTGCCGAGCCCGTAGTATTCGGCTTGATTGATGGTGCTGGAGGGGTGCGCACAGTGTATGCCGGTGCTCCAGACCTTGCAGAGAAAGAGTACACGGAGCGAGGAAACTATGCAGATGCAATGTGTAGTGGCGGCTGGTCATAACAATTCCACTTGCCTTGCATTTGTGTGAATCTGAACCACATAAACGAGTTTGATATGTAACAGACAACTTTACGAGTACATTTTTGAATTCCTGTTACTAGTTCGATCCACGGACCTTAACGTTGACAGTTCAGGCCAAGTCGTCAACACAACACTCGATTTTAGTGATACTTTTCCAATACTTGTAGCTTACAATGTGTTATTCAACACTAAGTCCTCTTTTGAGCTCAATTTTACTTCTAAATGACCTTCAGCAAGTTGTCATATAGCGACTTGTATGTACGCCTGAACGCATAACCTTATTCGTTCTCGCCTCACATTTAATTTTGCTCTTAATGCTTCTGTGCCGGCTCAAATATAAATATTGTATGGCTGTTTGCCATATAAAACTAAATTTACACAATTAAGCAAAGTTTCAGCGTATACCGATTGACTGGAGTAAAGGTCGAAGTTTGAACTTCATTACTCAATTAACTGGCGTTATTGAAATGGTCAGCATTATTTTTGTGCCACATATCACCAATCGGTAAATTTTCGAAGCAATTTAACATTTGGATGAAAAACGTCAAAGTCCAAATCGTGTATTGGCCACGAAAAAATGTCATCCTTAACATCCAAGCCACAGCGCGGTGAAAAAGCCGAGCTAACGCGCAAAAAGGTCCCACTCAAGCCACAAGTTGTGCGCATCGAAGTGCTAGGTGATGAGAAGGTGGGCAAGACGTCACTTGTTTGCTCGCTAGTATCCCGCCACTTTAGCGAAAAGGTGCCCAGCGTGCTGCTAAATGTGCAGATACCCGCTGAAGAGAGTGACGAAAATGTCGTCATCTCCATCACTGATACTTCATGTACGTATGTTATACAGGATCTAATTCTTTGCTTAACGACTTTCATGGTTACAGCCCGTGTGTCCGACTTGATGCGCGTCACAAACGCAGTTAAGCGTAGCGACGCCATCCTCTTAGTGTACGACTTGACCAGACCTGAGACTTTCCAGCGACTACGACGTTGGCTGGAATTTATTGCCAGGAACAAGGAGATTCCAGTTGTCTTGGTTGCTAATAAAGTAGATATTAATGCTGTAACTCCTTCAACTGATGCACCGTATGCGAATCAAGTGCGGCACCTGGTAAACACGTATCCGGTGCGCATGACTGGAATCTGACTTAGCCTTTGAGTATTCTTTATCTAAATCGTTACAGTATGTGGTTTCGGAGGTGGAATGCTCGGCAAAAAATTTTACGCAGGTGGCACAAGCGTTCTATTTAGCACAAAAGGCAGTGCTGTATCCAGTGGCACCATTATACAATTCAAGGAAGCGGGTACGGAATTTGTTCTCTTAATGAATGTGCACTTGCTATAGGAATTATCACAATCTCGAGTATTGCAGCAATTGCAACCAAAGTGCCTTAAGGCAATCAAGCGAATTTTTCGCTTGTTTGATCGCGATCGCAATGGTATTTTAAGTCGGGAGGAGCTGAATGATTATCAATACGATTGCTTTGGTGTACGCCTTCTCTCTTCAGAAACAGATACGCTGATCGAGTTTCTATCGTCAGAGGTCCCTTCTGGAGTGACTCCTGATCGCAGTGGAATTAACCTTGAGGGTTTCATCTATCTGTGGTGGCTATTTATTGACCGCAATCGACCAGAATCAGGCTGGCAAGTGCTGCGTAGTTTAGGCTATAATAATGAATTGCATTTGGAGATTCCACCGGAGCGTCTGCAGCTCCCTCCGTTCGAAGAAGACCAGAGTGCACAGCTTACTCCTCAAGCTGTCGATTTTTTAACCAGCTTATTTCGTCAATTCGATGCAAACAAGGACAACAAGATTTCGGACATTGAAGTTGAGTCCATTTTTTCTATTTGTGAAGATGAACGTGCGCCTTGGACGACTTGTTCGGCGATCTCTTCTCCATTACTTTACGAACGAACTATATTTGATGGTAGAACATCGCTGTCGATAGCAGCTTGGCTTGCTTGCTGGAGCTACGTGGCGCAAGAAAATCCACATAAGCTACTCGAAACGCTTTTTTTCTTGGGCTACAACGACAAGCTTTTTCCGGCGGTTACTTTCTTAAAGTGCGATTGCTTTAACTTTTTTTCTTGTGATCGATAGTTACCTATCTCTTGTGCTCGTAGAAGCCGAGCTACAACTCGCAAGGCTGCGGAAATTGAGCGCAATGTAATTTCGTGTTACATTTTTGGCTCACCAGAAGCAGGAAAGGAACACTTCGTGCGCACCTTTGTTGGAGGGGAAGAAGCCACTTCAGTTGACAAGGGGCACTTTATTCTTCGTGGCATTAGCGCTGTCTCTGATAAAGACACGACCAAGTACCTTTTTGTATGCTTCTGCTTGTGATTTATTGTGAGGTGAGATACGCAACTCATTATGTGTGGATACAGATCACAGAGGCTCTGACGGATGATGAGATCGGATTAAAGGCCGATGTTTTGCTCTTGGTGATAAACCCCGAGAATGATTTGAGTAGATTGTTTGTTGAGGAGTTGAACAAGAAACTACCAGCTTCTGTTCCGCGAGTGGTCATAAGCTACAAACCCGAGAGAATAAGTGACTCTCATTTGGAGGAAGCGAAGGATGATACAGACAAAAGGGGTTTACTGGCGGAAGAGCCTGTTGATTATGCTATTGATGCGACGCTAAAGCAGTATTCGACGTCAGTAAAGTGCCATAAAGTGCACTGCGTAAAAGACGACGTTGCTCGCGTCCTTGTGGCAACTGCTTTGCGGCCGTATGTATGCTTTAAATTATATATATTTTGATGATCTGTAAGGTAATATTTAATCTCTTTGCAGACCCGCGAATGCGCGCTCAAAGTCTACGGGAATTTGGATGCCAGGTCGAAAGACGGGCTTGGCTGTTGTCGGGTTGACTGTTGTAGCCGTCATTTCATACGTCGCGAAGCCAGAGGAAACTAAGGCATTTTTGAGAGACTTTGTTTCCAAAATTCGTCGCTAAGGCCCTGGCGTATAAGTTCCAATGAATAAATACATGGTCAGGTTCGTGACGGCTGTAAAGTAAGAAACAATTCGATTTTTATGCACTTTCGACATTGTTACGGACCAAAGAGTCAATACGATTTATCCCTTGTGCTGTTTGAAGTAAGTAGTACCTTATATCGCAATCGTAAGCGGTATTACTCTAGCGCTAACAGAAAAATGGCGAAGGTATCAAAATGAGCAAACGGAGCATCACTTGGGGGCCTTACCTCTTTAGCGCGAGACTGATGTTACTCAATTAATACAAATAGATGCATTTTTTGCGCAATACCATCTGGTAGACATTGGAGTATTGAAAATTATGAAAGAGCTCATCAAGCGTATTTTTCGGACTGATTATTTAAATATATTTAATGCGAACCACACAGCGGAAGTCACTTTTTGTAAAATTTTGCACTGCAATTGTACGAAATCCTCATTGCACTTGTGAAAATTCATCTAAAATTAAGTAACGAGGTATTTGTATGGAGAAGTCTGTGTTACACCGATAAAAGCAATTTTGATCGTGTATAAATATAGTCTCAGTCTAACCCTCGATACATGTATTTTTAAAAGAACAGAGCAATCGAGGGAGGTACCAACTGACTCGAAGGGCGGCTCCGCTCCGGGTCGAAAGGAACAAATCTAACCTCTAAGCGTTTATTCAAATCTAACCTCTAAGCGTTTATTAAGTGGCCTCATTCGGCCAAAACATCCTCGGCGCAAAGTGCAGGAAATTTCGTTGCATTTGGTACCACTTGTAGTAGATCTTACGTTCAATTCGTGGAGGGATAATTCCTTTATGAGAATGGGACATTTGAAGTCCAAGTACCTTTTCCGGGGATAACCAGACCAGCCAAGTAACCTTCTGTCTATGGTTGTTCCCGACTGGATCAAAAAGCTGGCGGTCAAGGGAAACGGGCGCCTGAAAGCGATTGCCAGCAATGAAAATTGCGATGGTGATCCCCCTTCAATAGCGCCATAACCAGGCGTCGGGTGAAAGAGCGGGTCACACACACAATGAGGATGCCGATGTTTCTTCTAAAGACAGCAAAATCTCCTTTGGATAACAAAAATTGTGATAGCCATGAACTTGGCCTTGCTACAAACGTCCTTCTCTTTTCTCTTCTCTTCTTTTCTTTTCTTTTCTTTTCTTTTCTTTTCTTTTCTTTTCTTCGCTTTTCTTTTCTTTCCTTTTCGTTTCTTCTCTTCTCTTCACTCCATATGCAGCAGTTGCGATCTCCAAGCTCAAATTTGCGAGCTGAAACGAGCACTCACCCCTGTAGGCAATGCGTTTCTAACATGATTTGATTTTTAGCGATGTTTTCTCACCGCCCAACCAACCGTGTTCGGTGCGCTTGATGTTTTGTCTACCCATCAAGGGTGGCGATAGCTAGTGTCTACTCGGGAAATCTTATCGTCTTAATCGTGTCGATGACTACCATCTTCACGGAAGGTCGTCGAGTCACACCGATACCTTCTGCGTTTAGCCTACCTTTTTCGTAGAAGCGGTGGGTCTCGCATTGAATGTGAAATCAAGCTTCCGTGTCGCGAGGGCCAGATTGGGTACCGTCGGGCGTTATCCGAGGCTTGTTGTATCACAGCACTTACGAACACAACACTCAGCGTGCATAGTGCCTTATGATGCGGAACCAAGCACATGTTACTTACTGTAGAGGGCACAAGATACTGCTCGGTCGTCGGTGAGCGCTATGCATTGGAGGCCCAACATGTTTAGGGGAGCAAGTAAATTCGTGCGCACGTGTGAATCGTGTTAATGAATTTAATCCTCGTCGTATGTGTCAACACCTTTTGCCAGCAAGCCGGTTCCGATTGGCCCCTCTTCCACCACTTCATAGATACGAATGACTTACTTGGCTTTTAAACGACAATCTCGATTATCTGGGTATTGAGGTCGTTGTGGTCTGCTATAACTAGATGTCTCAACACGCTGTTGCAGCGATAATGTGTCCGGCGAGAACTCAGTCTAGCGGTTTCTCGACAAAGTGTTCGCCAACATGGCTTTCCAAAATCCTTGGTAAAGATTCCCGCTTTCCAGAGAGCTTTTTGCAATCAATGTTTGAAAGGTCAGACAGCTTTTATGAATTGTCAACCGCCGGCAACCAAGCAAGTAGATGGTCAGACAGAACGCATGAAGTGAAGGGTCTCCGAGTTACCTGCACGGAGAAAGCGTGGTGATTGAGTGAGCAGATTCCCTTTTTTGTAACAGCGTAGTACTTGCCTCTACAGGCTTTAACGCAGCTTTCGTAGTGGGTTTGGCAAGCCCACAGGTGTCTTTGGCACCCAATGAAGTAACTCAAATCTCAGCTTAAATGGGGATTTAGATCCGATTTGATTTGCTCATATCAGACCAGCTATACTTTATATAAGATTTTCATTTCAATGAAGCGTCTGTCTTAAGTGTGCGACGATTTATTCGAGCTTGAATCTAGAAAAGTAACACGCTGGTGCCAGTTGAAAGTGGAGAACAAACGGATATATTGTGGGGTGAGTTGCTACATTAATGCAGTTAATCCTATCACACTAGCAATGTAGTCGGCTTATAAGACTGATTTGCGGCCATTTGCGTCCGCGTAATATCAGAGTATCACGGTTACAGCAGAAAATCAGTTGAGTTTCTTTAAATTTCACGATGTCTTGCGTAAGGATCGTTTTAAGTTTGGGTGTGCGGGAGCTACATGCATGAGCACGTCTTAGCATATTGCACCAAAATGCAAAGAGAATTTGAGACTGAAGCCCGTGTAGCAGCTAAACACAAAGCACGCCTTCGAGTTATGGTGTCACTTAGATATAAAGCGTAGCGCAGCGCGCTGGGGATGAGTATATTAAAACCACGAAATATTTGATCAAGTTAAAGGGGGTGCACACTATGCTCGACAAGAAGTGTTTCGATATTCAAAACAATTACAACAGATACAACAGCGTTTAGACGCAATAAATGAACATTTCAAGATTACAAAAAAGTTGCTTCGAGTTTCACGAAGAGAAAGGCTAGAATAAAGAAAGTTCGTTGACCATGGGACTGAGGTTGGAAGCGGACGCTTCTATCAAAAGCGGAATGTAGAGCCTCTAAAGTAACTATGATTGCAAATTTGCCCTGTTCTTCAAGAGTATAAATATAAATAATGTTACCCATACTAATACTAGATATAAATGTTTTTATAGTCAAACTTATTCTATTGTCTGACGTAAGGCTAGCGCGACTCATAAATGAAATAGGTTATGGGGTTACCCGTGCCCTTGTAAGAAAAAGCGGGTCGCACAATCTTGTGCCACCGTACATAGGTGTGTATTACACACTTAGTGTAAAAACGCAGTGGTGTGGCTGCACCGTAACAAAAAGCCAGCATGTGGCAGGATTGCCAGTAGTAATGCATATTACTATACTAATTAGGTCTAGCAATATTAACTAGGTATTACTATATTAATTAGAGAAATTAAGGGTTTTAGAGATTGACGGCTCTGCCGCAACTAGAACAATTAAATACAGTTTCGTTTTTAGACAGAAGTGTCCGTTTGCCTAGGTAAGGCTCTAGTACCTAGAAGTAGTGGATTGCGATCCGCTACACTTGTATTGGTTCTTGGAAAGAACTTAAAGTCGGCGACCTTAGCTTAGCTTCAAGCAAAGATCCTCGGTAGCCCCGCTGCAATATACCCCATATCCTGTTATCTTCGAAAAATGGATTCTTTGGTACCGACGAATTTAAGCAAGTGCAATATGAATCACCTGTAATTGCACCGTATTTCATCCAAACAATTGTACCAAATTTTTTGTTCGGAACAAGTATACAAGATCAAATATCTCACCCCGACATACTCTCCCACACAAAGTTGTTGACCACAGCGTATTTTAAACTTGCTATACTGCACAAAAGTGATTCCCCACGAGCAGCTATTCGCATAAGTCCTTATACCGTTTCTACTACTCAAAATATGCCTGTTCTAAAAGTTCTTTCTCATATTCGCATTGATTGCTCTCCCTGTGCGAAATTGATCGACTAAACACAAGCCTACACAAAGAGCGTTGTCTTCGGAACCAACGCATTATATGATAGTTTTGATACAGATGCTGACGTGTTCACCAACGACAACAGTCAAAGTTTGTACCGAGTACTTCGCAGACACCCGCGCCCTCACCCGATAATTCACGCCATAGCCGTTCTTAAATAAGGCTGCTGATCAATACAGTCAAAATCCTTGCTTCAGATGTCCCGGACTTTACGCCCATTTTATTCGGCACGATGTGTTGTGACACCACACCGTGGACTTGATGAAAATGTCCAGCTTGTAACAACGAGCTGGACGTAGCTTAAGGCATCATACTTACTTAGCTGTATGCACTAGAGTCGCACACCAAACTATCATAACGGTTTTAATCATGTGAAGTCGCTCGCCATGGTAATGTGGAGCTCCCAACACGCCTATTCTCGTGGGTCATCTATCGAGAGATAAGTGAGAACGCGAAAGTCGTCCCGCGGCCTCTGTTTTTATCCAAAGGAAACCACCTCGCACGAGGACAACCCGAGTGAGCGGAGCAATGATTAGAAAGACTCGTATACTCCATAAAGGATATACCTTGATTTCTAAAGGCCCACAAAAGTGTCGATTAGTATCACTCTCTGAGGTAGATAAACACGCCATACCGCCCAACTTGACTCCTACAAGCTAGCTTCATAGAAATGGACGTCTGTCCTGAGCGTCATCGCGAACCTGACTCTGTGAAGTACAAAGTTTTGACGTCTAGGTGACCATTGATCATCCCAAACGTTTCAATAGCATTGAGCCACCACTGGTTTACGAACAGAGATCAACCCTCTCGCGGATGGCTCTAGTGTGATCTCTCGGTTGTGACGGCACTTTGAAGATCTCCGAGTATCCAGGAGTGCCATTGAGGCTTATCCAGATCTTGGATTCGATCTCTGATGATTGATACCGCACTGCTTGACTTAAAATACACTCAGCGGGCAGGCCACGCGGTAGAAGGCATCGCTGTTTTGATGCAGATGATTGCTTTTCCTTAGAGTTTTTGGAAACGTTGCTCCGTCTGCAACAGAACACTTTAAATCCGACTTGGAGAGAGCGATCTTGTCGATCCTATAAACTTTTAAAGAACGTAGAAGCTCTGTATTTAACGTTCACCCCCCTTGCACGAATTGCACACATTAAGCCAGTTCATCGAAGTGTTGGGATCTCACCACGGGACTCTCGTCAAGAGCCAGCCCACAACATAGCGATTGGGTCTGGATGAGCGAGGTGAGCTCGCTTGTTCACAAAATATGCGCAGCGACTGCAAGAAGTGCCACTTCAGAAGTAATTAGACCGTGGTCATACACCCTTATGTTTAACAGCTTCCAGCCTAGTTTATAGCTGAAGCTGTGCACGAAGCTGTTGCAAGGTGTTTATTGGTCCTGCATGTTCTGAATCACCATCACAACCGACGACTAATGCCGTTTCTACAGCAGTTTGGTAAATCAGCTCACTCAATAACAGCTATACCTTTGGTACCATGCCTTTTGCGATAGTGCCAAACAAACATGACTCAGTACATAATTTCGCTGGGATACATGCACCGGAATATCTTTTTATGACCTCTATCTTATCGGATTACCCACCTACTCATCATGTCAAATTCGACTACCCGAATGTTGAGCTTAAAGAGCATGTTTTCCGATGTGATTACAAAATGCTGAAAACATTAAATTTATACTGATAATACCGGA